CCAGCAGGAATCTATCATCCTAGGTGTTAAATATTTTAGTAAAACCAGGTCAAGCATTAGACTCATTTTTTTATGCCTTGTATAGCACAGACATTAGTAAGAGTCTGTTCTCTCCTCTTCACCATTTATAATCTTCCCTTGGAAAAGAACAGAGTTGTCAATGCCCTAGCTATTCCATAGGACTTAAATAAGTTTATATTTTACAAGTCTATACTACACTGTAAAAGTTGCATTTTTATCCCACCGTGTTCTTAGTACCTGGCTACGTTGTTAGAGTCTTGTTTTAATCTATTGTATTTTTGCAGGAATGTACATGTGTGTATCCATGAACACCAACTCTCTTTTTCGTTTCTTTCTAGATGCGTCAGAGATTCTTCCTATGCCATGTACTACTCCCCCTACAGCCACTTTGCTCGGTTCAAATTTAATGCCTTTGAGTTCATTAGCCACCATACGTTGGTCTACCTGCAGTGTGAGCTGGTGGTGTGCAGGCTTGGTGACTATTCCTCCCGCTGCTACCAGGGCTGTATTACTAGGTCCAAGAGAGATGCAAGTTCTGCCGAGGAACGAGTGAATGTGGTTGTCGGACCACTTCAGCTTCGAGAAGGGGGTGCTCAGAGTAGGAATATTGGTAAAGCGAAATGAATTTCGTATTTGCCCTAAGACTACTTCAGGCTTCAAGAAAAGTCATAGCTCTGCGTTTCTGACGTCTGTCACTGAAATCTGCTTTTGCTAACTTCGCCATAAAAAGGAAGGGGTTGTTTGGCTGACCCAAACGTCAATAAATCTCCTCTTCTTTCAGCGCCTTGCAAACTCCCTGCTTTCACCTGCATGTATAAAAAGTATAACTGCTTTGGCTGGCCCGAAGGAGAGGTAGCGTGTAACACCTTTTAATGCTATAACTCCATTGAACTAATTAGCTCCAATCTGCTTGTGTAATGTGGTGGCCAGCTGGGAGCAAACTCTGGGCCTTTTTGAGAAACCTTTGATTCCCTCAGTTGTCTTCTGCTTGTGGAGTTTGCTTAGTGAGTTTTCATCTCTGCTAATGTAAAGCCCGTTCAAACAGTTTAAAGCAATGAATCTGTAAGAAGTTACCTTATTTCTGACTGATCTGGGATCCATCCCTTTTACCAACATACTGAGATCAAACCCTCCCTGCCTTCACTTGCAGGGCTGGGCTCTACTGTGCCTCCTCCCCAGGCGGTTCCCGCTGCCGGTAACACCCTCACGCCGCTCGCTGCTGCTGTCGCCATCCTGGCAGTTGGCAGTTTTGTTCTTGCCGGTTTTCTTGCGAGACCTGCGCTGAAGAAACCGCTTTCGCCTGCGATAATGTGAGATCGAAGGTCAGCATCGTCCCCTGAATGACGACAGGGCAAACGTCACATATCGTGAGCTGCCAAAATGCTTCACTGATGACAGTCACATATGTGCCATTTGTAAGAAGCTGTGGTATCTTTATCTACAATGACTCCTAGCCTGTTGCAACACTTTATTGTAATCCTAGCACTTCATAAATGATTAAGCAATAATTTCAACATTCATGTCACGAGTTGTTTGGTGCAATCATTATACCGTTTTCCTCCTCTCTAATTCTCTTCTCACATCTTTCTAAGACCATTTATCTAATGCCTCGAAACTTTGTGAGCTGGAGAGAAAATATGAGTGAGGCATCAGTAAATATTTTAAGGTTTATTAAAAGGGAGGAAGATTTAATTTGGGGAGAAGTAATAGGTCATGTCTGGAAAGGAAATGTAAAAATTGATCTTAACCTGGCATCTGGAACTGTAGCTATACAATATTCTAATTATTTTGAGTATTGTTTTTAGTGCTAAATTTCTCACTGAAACAATAATGGATCTGTGCTTATTTATAAAATGCAGAGATTTCCACGCTAAAGTAATATGGTACATGAGGAGTGTAATTTAGAATCAAAGGAAAGAATGTTTACAAGGCAGTAATTCTATTTTGTCTTTCAAATTAATGTCTCTGTGATTAAAATACAAATTAATGTCTTACTGTGTTGAAGAGTGTGGTGTGTTGGACTAAAAATTTGCCAAGTGACGGACTGAGCCCCTGCTTCTGAAATATTACATAGGGAATTTCTAAATATCTTAATGTAGGCTTCAAAAGGAATGAGCTAATTCTTTTTCTTTCCACACATGCAACTTTACAGAAAATATCTGGCCCTAGGAAGCCAGATTTCTGCCTCTTGATGCAGAAATGCCTTTTCTTTTGGTTTCCATTACTTTCTCCTGGGTGTCACACACAAAAGCAAAATGACCCACGTTGTTCAGGGAACTCCTAAGGACCTGTCTATCTGCATTTCCCCCATCCTTGTGTTCCCTCCAAAGCAGATGGCTGACTGAGTCCCTGAGCATCCTCTCCCATCCAAGCAGGCCCTGCATCTGCTGCTGTTCCCACAGCATGACCAAAGGTGAAGACCTCAGGGAAGGTGACAGGAGCCCATTAGTTCTTGCCCTGTCCCTCCTGGCAATGGGGAGTCATTTTCTCCCCTATCTTTTTAGGTGCATTTTACCTATTTGATGATTGATGTTTTTTTCACTAACTTTTCACTTCTCGAGATTAAGTAAATCCAAATTCAAAAGATACTGAGCTGTTAAAGGTGTTTTGTTAGCATTATTTAAGGCTGAACCACACAACCTGATCTAAAGGCTTCCCATTGACACACATCCTAAACCAGGCAAAACTAAATCTCATCCAAGAGATCAAATGTAAGTCAGAAGACATCTCAGGTCTCACCAAAACGTCATTTCAAATGTTGAAAGACGTTTCATGTCTTCTCTTGAGAAGGAAGAGTTTTGTTCAATTTTCAATACTTTTGGTTGCTGATCACAACAAAATTATTTAAGTTCTTTTTTTTCCCATGGTTGTGTGCTTTGTGATTGTGAGGAGTTTGTCTTCTCAGGACTTACCCAGTTGTTCAGAGTGTGTTGTCACATTCATAAATCAGGATGAAATATGCTGGAAATACAAACAGCCAAATCCCACATAAACATTTACCAATGGTGCATAAAAACATGAAAAGCAAGGTCTGGGATTTTTTCCTTTCATGTCCTACTTGAAAACACAGAGAATCTAAACCCAAAATGTAAATTAAATTGTTTATTTGGCCTTTTGTTTTTTATTTGTTTTTGTTTTCTTGTTTATTCATTTTGTGTGGGATCGGTGTTAGGCCAACCACACAGTGAAGTGGGTGCCTGCAAACGCAAGGGTGTCAAGAACCAGGAGCGTGTGGAGGCCACTGCCTTTCCTCTTTTTAAATGAGCTTTCTGGAGGCTGCAATCAAGCTTGTTGATGTCACCTCCTCCACCCTCAGAGAAGACACACCAGTGATAACTTGGCAGGTTTTTGCTTTGAATAACTGTCTGATTTTGGTATTAGGTTATTTAATTTCTTCCTAGTGTGTCTGTCACTACTCAACCATATAGCATATACTTGTTCACTCGGTGGTATGTACTCAACCAACAATCTCAACACCAACTAAATATGTTGTTTGCAACATCATGCTAAAATCCCTTGCAAGTGTCAACCTATGTAGTGTGAGCTGTGTTGGAAGGGGATAATGACTGGATTACACCACGTATATCCAGACGATGTAGCTGCAAGTGTTCATGATAACTCTAATGAAACTGCACATTCCTGAACAACTCCTCTGAAGTAGCACTTGAGAAGGTTATTTTCATGGAAAGACAATGGATCCATAGCAATTTTATTTCAAATACATACACATACATAGATACATGAGGGAGCTGGGGTTGTTTAGTCTGGAGAAGAGGAGGCTGAGGGGAGACCTTATCTGAGGTGAGTGTTGGTCTCTTCTCTGAAGTAACTAGTGATAGGACAAGAGGAAATGGCCTCAAGTTGTCCCAGGGGAGGTTTAGATTGGATATTAGGAAAAATGTCTTTACTGAAAGAGTGATCAAGCATTGGAACAGGCTGCCCAGGGAGGTGGTGGAGTCAACATTACTGGAAGTGTTCAAAAAACGTGTGGACGTGACACTTCAGGATATAGTGTAGTGGTCATGGTGGTGTTGAGTTGATGGTTGGACTTGATGATCTTAAAGGTTTTTTCCAACCTTAATGATTCTGTGATTCTGTGATTTTTTTGGTAAAAAGACTGTATGAGTTCCTGCCATTACGCTGTTCCCAATGTTATCATGCAACTTATTTTGCCAGCATTGGGGTTAACGCAAAGCTCAGAAACAAAGTTCTTGTTTGCTTGTTTGTATGCTGAATTTCCTGTGCTTTGGTGTCCTGTTTATCTTTCTATTCTAATTTTGGAGTATGAAGCAGATAATTCAACTCGGTAGTCCTCCTTCCCAGGAACATACTAAAAAATATTTATAATTGGGTATAAATAAACATTGTTTTCTTTCTGGATCCCATAGCTCACAAGTAGATTCATTTTCCAGTTGTTAATAACAAATCCCCATCTTCTCTAGACTGAGACTGAAAAAAGCAGGTAATTTGGCTTTGCAGGTTGTGGGTAAGAAACAGAATTTTTATTGTTTTTATTACTTTCTTTACATGCCTTGCTATAGAAACCCACAGATATTCATTGACATGAATAGCTGAATTAAGCAACTAAGCATAAACTTCTGCTCACAGTTCTGACTTAGGTGTCTTTTAATGCCTGAGACTGAACTCTTGCACCAAATTCCAATTAAATAACTACATGAATCTGGAGAAATCTGAAGATCTGGAGATCTTTCATTTGACTGATGATTTTTTTTTAATGTTTCCATCAGATTCACCAACTATGAGCAAGCTTTTTTAACAGGAATGCACTAGACTCTATGTTGAATGGGAGATCGGGCAGCCAGCCACTGCAGCTGGGTTGCTGGGTTGTCCACCATGCTTAATAAACTCAACGGAAACAGCAAAGGCAATTCTTGAGACTGACCCACCACTGTTCTTTGTTTGTGACAAGTTCAAGATAAAAAGAATTGCAGTTCTTTGCTGTCCAGCATCCCTGAACCCAAGCACAATTTTTCACATAAGTTCTGTTAAATGCCTTATGTTACAAGAGATTTTCTTTAATGTTTTTTTCTTTATTTTGATAGTTTGTTTTTATTTTCATAGGGGGTTTAAATTTAATTTTTATTTGTTTTGGCAGTTTATATCTAGCTGGGAAAAACTAAGGAGACATTAAAATTCTCACAGCAGCTTGTGTATTTTAGGAGATTTTCTATCTCAGGTTCAGAACTATGACACAAAAAACATATTTAACGAAATCGCACCTAGCTGAGGAAACTCATCAGTGACCCAGCTGGGTCATGGAGAGTGACATTTGTTTTCATTTCCTAGAATATCACTTGGATCACCTCTTTTGCCCTGAATCACCTGGTACCCATCCAAGCAGACTTTTCCTTCTTCTTTCTGAAATAAGTGAATTAGTCACAGGCTGTAATGTAGAAATTAATTGGACTGATGCTCTTCTAAAGAGCTTGTCAAGTTTGAATGACTGTCATCTTCTTTCCTTGCATTTTTTTTCATTTTTCAAAAACTATAATTTCAGAGAGATGGTTTCTCTTTTTCCTTCTCTTTCTGTACGAAGACTGAGAGCTGTATTTTGTCCTCAGACATAGTCATGTAAACTTGTTGAGTCTAAGGAAGTTTTCTGT